AGTGCCTAGGGGCGTTGTGGGCCGCAGCCAGCCCGCTAGGGGCATCATATTGGGGACCCTTCCCTGCCTTTCAGTCGCCAAGGCCTTTGTCCCATGAGCAGATCCAGTGAGGAAAGCCGCTGAGGCCGAGAAAGCCAATGCAGGGATGCTGTCGCCCTTCGCGGGTCATGCCTGGGTTGGGGGCCAGAGTAAGCCACGCTCCCCTACGCAGCCCAGGTAATGAAGCTGAAGCAGTACCAGGCAGTGAGATTGGGGACCCTTCCCTGCCTTTCAGTCGCCAAGGCCTTTGTCCCATGAGCAGATCCAGTGAGGAAAGCCGCTGAGGCCGAGAAAGCCAATGCAGGGATGCTGTCGCCCTTCGCGGGTCATGCCTGGGTTGGGGGCCAGAGTAAGCCACGCTCCCCTACGCAGCCCAGGTAATGAAGCTGAAGCAGTACCAGGCAGTGAGAGGTCAAAAGAGGAGCGGCACAACCTTATTCTTTACATTCAGTTAAGAGCAACAAATCTGGGCCTGGAGACTGTTCATCCAAGAGTTTAGAAAGTGCAGGGGCCGGAGCTTCCAACAAAATAAGCAATTGCTTCATCTGCTGGCTTACTGGAGGGAGAGACTAAGGGGAATTAAAGCGCAGCAAGTAATAGGTAGTCTGCCTTAAATAATGGTTAAAAATAGAATTAGATGAATATGATGTAACAGGGACAAATCAGTGATAGAAATGTAGCCGTGTTAGTCTGGGGTAGTTGAAGCAAAATGCAGGACAATGTAGCACTTTAAAGACTAACAAGATGGTTTATTAGATGATGAGCTTTCGTGGGCCAGACCCACTTCCTCAGATCAAATAGTGGAAGAAAGTAGTCACAACCATATATACCAAAGGATACAATTAAAAAAAAGAACAAATATGAAAAGGACAAATCACATTGCAGAACAGAAGGAGGAGGCGGGGGGGTGGGAAGGGGGAGGAAGGAAGGTAAGTGTCTGTGAATTGATGATATTAGAGGTAGGGAGAGTGGGATGTTTGTGAGTTAATGGTATTACAGGTGATAATTGGGGAAACTCAAATCAGTATGAGTTCTGCAGAAGAAAAGCCTACTTCTCCAGTTTAGTAGTCTTTGAATAGGTTAAAAAATAGTGGCTAAAGAAGAAATATGCAATGTCACATTAAGACTTTCAAAAAGTCCTTGACAATGACAAGAGGCTAGCAAGGAACTAGGATAATGTGACTAAAAAAGTATGTTTTTATATTGAAATAGCTGACTCGAGGTAGTTGTCTCTGCTGTGGAGACAAGGCACTTGTCCTTGATGTAACTAGTCAGGGGCATGAGGTTGGTGTAAAAATACACTATTTTTAGTGAATGCATATGCTAAGAAATCAGGACATGAAAGATTAAATTTTGTCATGGATTAGGAGCTCACATAAGCATGTGTATCTATGCTAGGAATAATGTTTTCTTACCACAGTTAGCTAACTAACACTTGGTAACTCATGATAAAATGCTTAGGAAAACAAGTAAGTTTGTAGGTTTCAAATGCATTATCAGGTGGAAGTAAACACCCAAGGAGAGCCTAGGATTTATCTCAACCTACTAATATATAAGAAAATAGAAATGATCTTGTCTTCACTGAGATTTTACCATGGGCATTAGGTAGCACATGATAAGAACCCCCATCCTCCATGAAGACAAAGAGGCAGAAAACTGAGATTAGGAAAAATGATCAATTTTTAAAATAATGTTCCCAAACTTCCTTATTAGAATTGGCAATGTTGAACATACCTATCAGTAGCTGGAGAAAGAAGGTGAAGAACGAGATAGCAACATCTGTAGAAAATACAAAATTATTAAATTTTGTCAAGACTAGAGAAGATTGTGAAGAATGTCAGCGTCATCTAACACAGGTGGGTGAATTATACACCACAATGGCAAATGAAAGGAAATAGATAAAACAGAAAATATCATATTGCTTCTATATAAAGCAGTGGTCAGCAACCTGTGGCCTTTGGGCTGCATGCAGCCCACGGACCCCCTGGCTCTTCCCCTCCCCTTGTTGTGCCTCTTGCACATGAGGGGTACCAGAGCTCTCATGTCCTGTTTCTCTCTCCCAAGCATTTCACTGCAGCATTGTAGCACATGGCAGCCAAAAGTGAAAATAATGACTACATGTATGTAATGAAAACAATGGAAGCAGAATGACCTGGCTCAGCTTGCTTTGCTTCCCTGGCTGTGCCACTACACTTCCTGCCAGTGAGTGCGGAAGTGAGGGGAGGGAGTCTTACCCCCTCCCCAGAGTGACACGACTGGGAGCAAGAGGAGCACAGTGAGCTAGGGCTGAGTCACTCCACTTCCCCTTCCCCATTGTCGGTGAATATGGTGGGACCCAACCCCTGCTGCAGATGCCAGGCTCCCAGGCTAGTCTCCCAGGCTGTGAGATACTCTGGCCTTGCCAGCTGCTACCCCTTTGCCCATCCTGCCCATGGCGATTTGAGCATGTGCCCCTTGTGCCCCCTCTTGTCACTCCTGGGTACTGTAGTATTGCAACCCCCCCTGGGGGAGCTCAAGGCAGGGAGTTGGTGGGAGGTTATGATACAATAGTACCTGTTAGAAATGAAGTGTGGGATGGAGTGCGGGGGGTGGGGTGGGTGCAGGGCAGGTTTTGGGGATGGGTGTGGGTGTTGGTCAGCTCTAGGCAAGGGATTTATGTATGGGTGCGTGTGCAGGCATCGGCAGGGGTTAAGTTGTGGGGATGTGCTGGAGTCAGGGCAGGGGGGTTAGGAGCTATGGGGGGCTCAGAGCAAGGGTGTGGGAGTGCAGGCGTCAGGGCAGGAGGTTGGGGTATGGGAGGTCAGGGCAGGGGGTGTAGAGGAACTTGGGACAGGGAGTGCAGATACTGCATTGCCTAGCCCCTGGATCTCTGAGGCAGGCTGGGATGGTGGAGACCATACTGCTCAACTGCTGGGTCCCTGGGACTAGCCAGGGTGGCAAGGACTATGCTGCCTGGCCTCCTGAGCTCCCAGGCTAGAGCCTGGGTGTACTGTGGCCACACCACCTGGAGCTGTGGATTTTGAGTTGGGCCCACCAAGTCTGGGGCATGCCCCTCCTCTCTGTCCCCAGTCATCCACGTTGTGCTGGAGGTTATGGTGTGTGTGTGTGTGTAATTTGGGCTTCTATGGAGGATGAGAGCCAGAAAAGGAGGGGCAGATCGCCACTCTTGCTGATTGATGAGCTGCACTGGAGTACACGGGCTTACTTTCGCCTTTGTGCACCCTGCTCCGGGCAGTAGTACCTGAGTACAACCCAGTAGTGTGTTAAGCAATGTGACTAATGTTTGCCATGTTTTGTTTTGTTTGTTCTCTTACCCTATCCTCAGGGGGAGGAGCATGTGCAATGGAGTATCCTATATCAATAAGGTTTTTCTTTATATATATATATATATGAGATTGAGAGGGCAAAGTTGAAGGCCATGTACTTGGAGCAGAAGATAGTATTTGTGTGAATTTCATTCTCCTCTGCCCATCCACTATTACTTGGACTTGGAGCAGGGGAAGGTGATTTTCACCCTAGTTATAAACTTCTGTGACTAAAGATACTGGTTTCTCATGACCATTGCTTGCTCTGGTGTACTATTGATTTCAACAGACTATATGTGTATGGGCTGTGAATTCTTAGGAAGATCATTACTTACGTTACCAAGTGTTGCAGGATTGAGCCATGTGACATTGGGAAAAAAAATCTTTTAAAGAAGGACTGAGAGCCACAGTAGCCAAATTATGAAATTATTCCTATGAACTCATGTTAAGTAAAGTATAAAGCAGTGCATTAGTGATGGAATGTGATTAATACAATTAGAAGTTTGTAGGAAGAGTTTGTGTAAATAATTGTCCATATAATGATATATAATTGTACATATATACAGGCAGTCCCCGGGTTACGTACAAGATAGGGACTGTAGGTTTGTTCTTAAGTTGAATCTGTATGTAAGTCGGAACTGGCGTCAAGATTCACCCACTGTTGAAACTGATCAGCTTCAGCAGCGGCCGAATCTGGACGCCAGTTCCGACTTACATACAGATTCAACTTAAGAACAAACCTACAGTCCCTATCTTGTACGTAACCCGGGGACTGCCTGTAGCTTATTTCAAAAATTGGCACTGTCTACACAGCACTTATTTCAAGATAAATTGCTATTCCAAAACATCCCTTATTCATCATGGAATGAGGTTCATGGGGATGTCGGAATAGCGAGCCCATTATATTTCAGAATAATGGGCACATTCAAAAGCCATGGAATAGCTATTTCCCTCCGGGGCGAGAAAAGCTTCTCCCGGTCTCCCTGGTCTGCTGGGGGGGGGGGTCCAGCAGCTTTGCTGGACCCCCCCCAAGCAGACCAGGGAGACCGGGAGAAGCTTTTCTCGCCCCGGAGGATACGGGTGGCGACGCGACGCCCGTGAGCTCCGGGGCAAGAAAAACCCCATTCGTAAGTGCAGATCCGATGTAAGTCGGATCCGCGTAAGTCGGGGACTGCCTGTATTCACTTTATACTGTATATTTGCTACATAGGAAAAGTAATTGCAAAACATAAAAACTAAAAATCAATCTTGCAAAATGTCTGTTTTTAATATACATTCCTTACAGCATTTGTATTCATTTTACATTTTTAGGTAAAAGAAAATTATAGCCACAAAAGTGAAGTAAACTCTGGGAAAGCAGTTTTAAATATACAAACCATTTTTGCTCTTTTACTTTGAAATAGTATGTGCACAAGTGAAAATAACTTGACACTGTGACATTTTATTATATTGGGTTTTTTTCATATCGAACCTTCAACATCTGACAATAAATACAAAACTTTGCTTTTCTAGCACTGCCAGCAGCAAAACATTCAATTCCAAAGGACTGTAACTCTGACATAACACAATATCTAAAACCCTCAGTGTTCCTTAGTTTTGTCTTTAATATGTCCATTGACAGGTGATTACTTTTTGCACTTGACCACCTTTATAAACCTGTATTTGTAAAAGCTAAAGAATATGTTATATGGTAAGGTGCATGTTTGAAAGGGAATATTTTGTAGGGAACTTCAGTTAAAGTCAGTATAAAATAGCCCTATCTCAGGGAATTCTTAGAACAGAAAGCCGCATAGGGAGACATTTTGGGCATGGAGCAAGAGTACAATCAGAACAAGCTGTAGAATCCCTGTGTGGCTGCACCACTTTCCAGCCATCCTGCATAGTAGAAACAGAGCTTTCCCACTGCGTATGGGGCCATTAGCAGCTAAACAAGGCGCTGCAGGTTTTCTGGCACAGTGAGGGAATAATACGTGTTATATACCACAGTTTTCTTTTTGTAGCCCTTTGGTGTAATGCATATTTAACTAGAAAAACCAATACAAGAAGTGACAATTAGAAAAATCACTAGTAAATTTTCTGTACATTTGTAGATAATATAGGCACCATGTTTCACATATTTTATGCTGAATGAGGAGCACATAGAGAGCATTTAACAGGAATTTTTAGGCACCCTGAATAAAAATAATCACACACCTTTAAAAGAAACAGTAATACATGCACCTTTCTTGTTTGTACCCTGATATTAAAATAACAGACTGAATTTCAAGTATGAAGTGACACAGTGAAAACATGTCCTGTGAATAGATATAAAGTCTAGGTAATACAGTTTGCACCGTAGGTAACTTTTTACCTTGTAAAATAAAGTCATACTGAATGTTACGTTGAGTGACTTGATCCAGAATAGAAGGGACCAGCTCCTCACCTATAATTTGAGATAGCACCAGTGAAATCAACAGAACTCTGCTGATTTATACCAATTGTGGATGTAATTCAAAGAACGTAAAAATAATTTGAAATGGCTTTTGATGTTTTTGACTCCACTGAAACCTATGGAGTTATTCTGGATTTGTATCAGTGCAACTGCATTCAGAATCTGGCCCACTGTTCAAAATAACCACCACCAAAACCATCATTTTTTACAAGGCTTTTTTAAAAGTCACATATCTCGCAGATTTCAGAACTATTACCCTATTACAGTCATATACACACATGCTTATCTTTACATATATGAGTCATCCCAGTTATTCTGAGTCATCTCAGTTATTCTGCGGAGTTCATAAATGTCTGGAGTACTGAAGCCTAATTTTTTATTTTTGGAACTTTCGTACCAACATTGTGCTTACCTTTACATATCCCTATTTCACTAAGACACTTGCTTTTCATTCTTTGCATCAAAAATAACCCAAAGAAAATTTGAGAAAACTAATATGTCATTAGGATTAATTGTATCTGGTCACACACTACCATAAGTAATATCTTTCTTTGCTTAATTACTAAACTATATTATTGCTATACAAACCTGAGATGCCTGACATTGAAATTTGTAGACTTAAGAGGGCAAATTCATCCCTGGCGTAATTTAACTGTATTCAGTATACAGGAATGAATTAAGTCCACATTTTAAATACTTTGAAACCTAGACCCTATTTCATATAGTATTTCCACAGCAGTCTCTAAGCCTATTACTTTCATATTTCTATTTATTTAAAAAACCTTATGTAGTTTTGTCTTTCTACAGAAACACACAGAAATCTATAAGAGCAATTTTATCATTGCAAAAACTTATTTTAACCACGAGAAGCCAGGCAAACTCAGGCACTGATATAAGTTTCTGTTATTGACTGGTATCTACTGTAACTATTGCAAACAAAATAAAGCCAAAATGGCAGCTATGTAATGATTTCTAATTTTAATCTTTCACATGATTCCCCCTCCCCCCCACATTATGCTATATGTACATTTAGCTCTACAATAAAATTTCAAAGTAATTAATGTTTATTCCTTTACATATGCAATCAATCAATCAATCAATCAAAGAAACAAACCTTTCT